CGTGTCCAATCGTGCGCGTGTCGCATCATCAAGGTCCGTGGCAGGTACAGGAAGGATCTCGGGCCCCTGCATGATCGCCGACCAGGCGTATGTATTTCCCTTGTCTGAAGATCAGCGTCTTGAACGATGTGTCGGGCACCGTCCTGACCGCTGTCTCGGCCCCACCATCCTCAACGTCACGGACGTCTCTAGCCCATTGCCCCGAGCGACTAGAGTTGCGCTGCTGCCTTCTGGCCATGCCCATTACCGTGGAACTCGTCACGGCAAGGCACTGAAAAGGTTTGAGAGGTAAGGGCCGCAAGCATGCTGGTTTCAAGCTCAGGCAACACGGGCAGGCAGACCACACTCAAGTGCAGAGATTGGCACAACGTAGGGCACCCACCTCATCTCCATTGTGCCTTCTCGAGCCCTGGGTTCTGACACTGCGGAATCAAGCCTAAGGAGGTGATCGATGTTGATGGTGGGCTAGCGGCGGACTCTGTTCGGACGGCAGAGAGCGGTGATGGAACAGTGGCGGCGACTCTTCCCAAGCTCAAACCCAGGAGTTAGCGCCGGCCTGGACGTGAGGCACCGGGGAACCTCACGATAGCTGAAGCTGGTGTGGATGAGAAGCCGAGCTCCACTCAGGGTCCTGCGGCTGAGGAGGAGGACGTTGAGATCGTGCATCTCGATCTCCCTCCATGGGGACTTCGCGATGAAATCTGGGCTGGAAGTGTTCGGCTGAGCTCGGTCCGGCCCACGGAGGAGGACAAGGCTGGCAAGCAGGTTACGCTATGTCTACCTGCCGTGCCGCTTTACATCCCGGAGCCACAGGACCCTGGTACGGACCTCGGTGCTGTGATTCGTGCTGCCGGGGAGGCAGCGGCCTCGAGGGCGTCCTCTCCAGCTCCCGGTGAGTACCCGGGACACGCCTCCGCCAACCTGTGCTGCAGCCTTTCGCGAAGGACGTCTCCCTTAATTGGACCAGCAGATGATAGAGACCCTGGAGGCAGAATCGCGGGCTTGCTCAGGATCGCTTCCTCGAGGCATGCAGTTTTGACAGGTACCGCGGAGTGAGAGTTGGAGAGGCCCGCTGGCAACACGCCGCTGAATGGCCGCAACCCCGCCGGTTGCGCTGTCAGAGCTTGTCGCAGCTGTGCATGCAGCTGGTCTTGTTAAGGGGGCTACAAATGTCGACGCGGCACGCGTTTCAGTCGTTTGGGCATGTAGGCGTTTTCCGCCAGACCGCTGCGGTGATGGCCGCCGACGGAAACTAAACAATGAATACAGTACCAGCCCTGGCACAATCCACTTTGTTGCAAGCTTGCCTTCTCCAGTCCGTGCAGCAGGCTTTTCCGAACCAGCATTGGAAACAGAAAACCTATGCAAGATATGCAGGCCTCATGATCATCGACGCCGTTTCCGCTTGGTATCTCAGACCCTGACACAACAGGCATCTGATGCCTTCATGGATGTGTGTAGCCTGTAGCCCATTCCAACACGCGCTCTCCACACAAGCTGGTTCTGGCGGTATTTTGCGAAGTGAGTTCGGGCAAGACAGTTGTCAGTGCTTACGACCACATAGCCAGGGCGGCAATGTTTGAAGGCCTCTGCCGGGATGCGCGAATGGCTTCGTTACGCTTCGTTGATACCTCCTGTCCGTCAAATTTATAACCGCGAGAGCACGCTCATTTTCGGTGATTTCCTGATGCCGGGCTGTTTCGCGGCGGGCCGGCCCTTTTAGCGGCGCGCGCCGAACTCGGGCCCCATGCCGACCTCTGGTGCATTCTCGGATGATACGTATGTGTCGTGCGACATCGTGCGACCCAGCAGACACATGCGCCGCATTTGTCACCATGCGCAAGGCGCTCAAGCGCCACAGCCTTTTGTCAAAGGTTTGCCTGACTTCCAGTCGGCGTGGCTACTACTGCTGATGTGTGCCGCTCCACGTACCGGTAGTAACCACCGCCTCCGGTCTATGGCACCTTCCCTGACGGACAAATTTGCGGCCGCACACACGACGAAGGAGATGCGGCTCGTCGTACTCGGGATCGAGGTTGGCGGGCGCTTCAGCACTGAAGCCGCCTCCTTCTTGCGCCTTTTGGCACGACACCGTGCCGCCGGCATCGCGGCACCGCTGCGAGCGGGTGCAGAGGTGGTCCGGGATGCTCGCTGTTGCTGCAATGCCTGCCTATGCGGCTTCCCTGCTTGAGCTCCCTCCGCTGGTGAGGCCTGCGTCGCGGGTGAGGCGCCGGAACTGCACGAAATCCTGGCGGATGTGCGGGGCAGCCTCCCCCCCGACGATCAGTCGCTTGCCGGCACCAGCCTCACACACTGCCTGAAGCTCACCGTGAAGCTTACCGTAAGCCGTAGCTCCGGTTGCACTGGGACCGCGTGGACGGCTTCAAAAAGGTTCGAGAAAAACAAGTTACACGTTGTCTGGCCGACTGATGCCCCAATACGCATTGACTAGTTTTCGGTCGGTCGCAAACATGCTGCGCCGCCCTTGAAGCTTGGGGGCTTGGGGCTGCGCCGTGGAGTGCAGCATACTTGGTGGCATTTTGGGCAGATACCTTGCCAATCTTGTGCCGCCGCCTGCAAAGGTGTGTTCCACGTCGTCGGCAACGCGAACCCAGCTTCTTACAGCTACGCCGCTGCCCTTGCTAGTTTGGCCAACTTTGGGGTTGCCTCGTCAGTCCGTCCAGGGTTGAACAACTGAAGAGCCGCTGCGTGGATGGCAGCGAGCCCCCGCGGCCTGCTTGGACGCATCCGCTTGCTCGAAATAATCCTTGACCCGGCTTCGCAAGCGTTGAATGCGCCGCGCAGTTCCGACTCTCGAGCTCTTGTTTCTGTGCTCAGGCGGTTGTGACCGTGCCTCTCGGGCCCCGTTCGTGCCGTTGTGGAAGTGTTCTCGGTGGTTTTGGTGGTCACCGCGCAGCGCGTTGGACAGGGCAGCGGCGCACGTGTGCCGCGAAGCCGGGGCACGTGTGGCATCCAACGTCCTTTGAAATGTCGACATGCCCTTGACTAATGGCCGCCGCATCCACGTCTTGGCGAATGGACCCTTCTGGCTGTCGACATGTGCACTGTGGTGTCGCTAGTTACACAGGCCGGCGGCGCGAAGCCAAATGTCGATCGTGTCCCAAGCGTTTGAGTACGCGGCGAAACACAAACACCTTTGCGCCTACCAGGAGTTTGCGGTCGCGCACCGTTGCAATGGAAGTTAGCGGCAGGTTCAGCCGAGAGCCCATTGCCCTCGGCAGTTGGCAAAGGGCCCGGCCGTGCAACGGCTTCTTTGCATTGTGGGCGCGCAGCGCGCGCTGGATTCCTCGCTGCTTGAGTTGCCGTTAGCGGGAGCGGACGAATGTGGGCGGAATGCCGAGCCAGCCCGTGATACCTTTTTGTGTGGTGGAAATGCTTATAACCTCAACACCTCGCGGTCAGGTTTGCCACGTCCCTGGTTGGGATGCGTCCGAGGCCCTGTGATCCCCTGTGCCCCCCGCCCGAAGAAGCTGAAGCCCAGCCAAGCAACAGCCTCCGCGGCTGGGCAGCGGCACGCCGCCCGTGCCTGTGACGAGCGCGCGTTCGAAATATTTTCTTGTAGGCGATCTTTTCGCACGGTCAGACACCATGCCTGCAAGGTGCGATGTCTAGAGAAATTAGGTTGTGTGTCATGTGGATGGATTGAAAATTTGGCCGCTACCGCCGCCGTGTTTGGCGTAGCTACCTTCCCCCTGTAACAAGGGTAGCGGCAACCAAGCTCAACAGAGCGTCCGGTGTCCCAGTTGCGTGCAATTACATTATGGAGATCCACATGCGGCTGGTTTGTTGCTCAACTGAGGTCGCGTCCACGATTGATTGCTCATGGCTGGCACATTGCTTGGATACTCCTTGACGGATTGCCCCTCCCAGTGACAACACCTGTTCGTGCACAGGTCCGGACCGCAAACGGAACGGAGGGAAATTGTTGTGACCCAAGAGCAACGGAAACTGCTGCGCCTTTTTTTTGCAGCACGCATATTGATACCGAGGCCTGAAAGTTGCACACCATCAGCCATGTCTTGTGCATCGACGGGTTCGCAGGCAAGCAGCGGAACCGCTTTGTTTCGCAGTGTGACGTGGGGTTGTCAAAACACATGTCAGGTAGAAGAGCATTGCCATTTATCTCAAACGCTGGATGTGCACGGCTTACAGGGCTGCAGTGGATGTTTTATTGCGCTTGTTTTTTTGAAGCGCATGTAGCTCCGTATGCAGGTGTTGATGCACATCCACGTTCTTGCTAGTGGTGTGCCTGTCACGAGATTGGTTGGCAGGCGTTGTCCGACCAGGACGTCACAACGCCTGCGCTCTCAAAGAGTTCCCACATGTTGATGCGGGGTATGGCAAGGCAAGTGCAATGTTCTTGAGGCCGCGGCGTGCAGAACCAGAGGCTCGTTCCTTTCGAACCATGGCGCAGAGCGAGCGAGAAAGAGAGAGAGAGAGAGAGAGAGAGCGGAAAACGAGAGAGCGAGAGAGCGAGAGAGAGACAGAAACAAAAAGAGAGCAGACAGTCCTGAGCGTTGTACATGCGTGGATGCAGGTGGCAAGCCAAGCAAAACCCGACGCGAAGTCCGAGCCTGGGATCCGTAAGCACTGTAAGCTTGAGCCACAGGATGAAAGCACCAAGCGGAACTCACAGCACCAAAGTGCAACCGCAAGGCGGCAAAATCATAATCCTAACTGAGGCTTACGCTACCCGTTGGAAAACGGGGATCATCAGTGCTTGAGCCTCGCAAAATGCAATGTTTTAAGGCTCCATAATGCCATGCCGTGTGTGTTGCTTAGGGCTTGGTGTGACATTCAAGACGAGGAGGCCTCCAAAACCTCACGGCTGTGGCTTTCAGTTGCAAGTTTGATTTGCTTGTTGATGTGCTGTGCACAAGTGTCGCTGTGCACGAGCTCAAGAGCAAGGCACGGGCAATTAGAGAGATATCCCCACAGCGTAGAACACTGAGAACAGTCACTCGAAGTGTCGATACCGCATGCTGCAGCAAAGTGGCTAGTGTGCTGGTAGCAGCAGCGGCCAAGCCATGGCAACGCAGGACAGTCATATCGAGTCGCGAGGCTTTCCGCCGAGTTGTCGCTCAGCTGAGGAGCATGCCCGAAAGCGGCAGGCCGGATGAGCAGACCTTGTCGCTGGGTTTCCGCCAATTGCTTGCGTTGCTGGTATCTGCTTCGCCACTTGCAAGGACAAACTGGGAATTTCGGGGCGGAGCTCACATCTGCAGGTGGAGATGATGCAGACCGGGAACGAAGCTGCAGCAGGGTTGAACTTATGTTGCTGCGAGGCATCGCAACAGCTGGGATTCGGTAGGTTTTGCGCTCGATGCTCCTGAGGTCATGCAGCGTTCATCGGCCGTTAGCAGGTTGTCCGGGGATACACGCGACATGCAGGCATCGACCCAAAGAATCTCGCCTGAAGATTGCGGATTCGAATGGGCATGCCAGGTATCGGCGATGGAATGGCGGGAAGAATGCAAGCTGCTCAGAATGCAGATGGAAGCCCAAGACCGGCGCAGGGACCCCAGTGAGGGTCGTCATTAGGTCTGCGTATGTGCGTACGAGCAAATATGACGATGCATGAAGCAACTTCAGATTCTTGCTGTTGTGCCCAGGCTTCCGGAACTGGCTTGCATTGACTGTCTCTGCTTTACTGGTGATCTTGGCTGTGGTGTGGATCAGGGGGGAGGGCCGCATACATGAGGTTGAGGAAGAGGAGCGGTCGTTTTGCTCCCGTCGGGTAATGCGTCCACGCATGCGCTTATACTGAGCAACGACACCCAAGTCTGCTGATGTCGTCGCAGGAGCAGCGGCTGATTCGAGTAGTCCATGACATGGAGCAGCAGATTCTCAACATGACGCACGAGAACGACACGACCGCAATGACGACCGCCACAACGACCGCCACAACGACCGCCACAACGACTACAACCACATTGCGCGAGAGCTTTCTCGACTGAGTTGTGGACTTGTATCTGCTCTCATGCTCTGCGGAATGCAGCCTCCAACAAAGCTATCCGTCGTGGAGCAGCTCACCTCCCCGCGGACGCCGTGTCTCACGGCCCAGCTGAGAACGAGAGATGCTGGCCATCTCTACCTGAAGCTCCGCCAAAGAACCGCGGAGTAGTGAAGCCGTTTCACGGCACACCACTTGTTGGCTTGGCCAGTGCTTGGCCCTTCATGTTTCCAGGAAAAAGCGGGCTTTTCGATGCCGGTCGTTCACTTGGAATTAGAACGAGTGCCTTGACCTAGACTATGTGAGTTGCTTCGTGCTTTCTTGCCAGACGCTCGTCGACAACAATTGGCTTCCCAGCCATTTGGAGCCGCAGCCGACAAAGGCCATCTGGCTCTCCAAGATCTTGGTTGGTCATGCCTAAACCCTAAGCCCTACACCCTACACCTAGCATGTGGGCGAATCGGGTCAAGCAGACAGCACCAGTCGGCTGCTTC